TTTTATTGTGGAGTAACTCAGTTAGTAACTCAGTTACTTTTTGGGAGAAGTAACTAGTAACTATAACTAATTACTTTTTCAAAGTAACGTGCCCAACACTGAACAGGACTACATATTTTATTATACTAACCTGTAGCATTTCGGTGTATTTGGATGTAATTATGTTTATTATAATTATAAATTCCAAAAACATGACTGTTAAGCTAATTGGCTTCTCTAAATTGTCCTTAGGTGTGAGTGTTTGCATGAATGGTTGTTTGTCCTGTGTGTCTCTGTGTTGCCCTGCGATGGACTGGCGACCTGTCCAGGGTGGACCCCGCCTCTCACCCATAGACAGCTGGAGATAGGCACCAGCACCCCTCGCGACCCCAATCGGGACAAGCGTGCAAGATAATGGATAATTACCCGTGGTTCTGGCTCATTTTCAATAGAGAAACTGCCTGCTTTGTAATTCTTGTAGAAGTAAACCCAACTGTTGGCTAAACAGCTAAAGTGGTGTCTTCCATCTACCTCTTTTATTTTTCTTGGGCCAGTGAACCAGTGGGTTGGTCTGGATGTCAATTTCTGGGCATGACAAAAGTACAGGCCAGAACCAAATAAGGCAACATCCCCGAAATGACGTCTATTCGGAGCTTCGTTTGGATTCGCCCGCTTTATGGTGGAAGTTTAGAATTGTGAGATTTGCAGAGAAAGGAGGTGTTGAACGTCTCTTTACGTCCATTTCACCCACTGAACTATCGTTATTCATCTATGACAATAGAAACTCTGTTTTGCATTCTATGACCCGTTTAATGAAAATGTGAAAAAATTACAATTCAGAAATAAAACTTTTGAAACTTTCCGCGTAGCTAGCTATCCTGTGTTTCCTGTTTATCACAGCCAAGCGAAGCCTAAACGTATGATGACATCATCCTTTTTTCGCTTGGTCAATTCGCTCCAAATCTACTTTCCTCAAATTTCCTGCATTTTAAGTTTCCTCAAATGTCACATGGCAATTGGATGGAAACACAACTTTTGATTTTCTGCAGAAAATTCATGTCGGCATTTTTACAAACGTAAAAGTTCACAGTTATTTTCATACTAAAATATGATAAAATAGTAACTTAAAAAGCCATTCAACTGGTGTATTCAAAGAGTAAAATATGAGTCTGTTATAGAGTTTAACTGTTAAGTATTGATTCTCTCTTTTTTTTCCCTCTTGTAGTTACTACGGATTGACTGTTTGGTTCCCAGACATGATCAAGTACCTGCAGAAGCAGGAGTATGCCTCACGCACCAAAGTTTTCGTCAAGGAGAGAGTAGAACATGTGACCTTTAACTTCACACTGGAGAACCAGGTCCACCGTCAGGGGCAGTACTTTAATGACAAGTAAGGCTGCTACACCAGTGCTGAGAGAAGTAGTTTCTATCCCAGATTAATGTACAATCATCAAAAAAAGGAAAAAAAGAAGAAAACATAGGGGGAAAAAAATGACAGTATATCATGTTTCTTACTGGATTAGGTGTTTAATATTTTAAGGGATCCATGACTAGTTGAACATGTTGGCCTAAATATGTAGTAATTTCCTAGTTTATTTAAATATTGCTGCTTTTGATACGTGCTAGCTAATAATTACCCGAAAAATCAAATATCCTGTGTGATATTTTTCCCCCATGGAGGTCGCCATTTTATCACCTGTTCATGCAATGCATGCTGGGTAAATAATGACAGTTATGTCTTACTGGCCTGGAACCTCCAGAGGAAGGCTAAGCTTAGCAGAGCTGTTGTTATATTGCATTTGACTGATGTTAATTTAGACAATGTCGCATTCCGTCACTGTCTCAAAAGTTTTATGAGACATTATACGAGATATCTGTTGAAAAACAAACAAATTCTATCAGCTTGTGACCTGCAGTTTACCATATAAGCTAGAGCTAAAACCATTAGCAGAAGCTAACATGGAATCAAAATCAAATCAGAAGATAATAAACGACTGTTTAAAGTGACAGTGACGCATGTTTCAGTCATTGCAGCTCATTGTTTTAATTTATCTGAGAAAATGTTCTGATGCTAACTGTACACATTCTCAGTTAGAAACTGCTGCTCTTTGTAGCATAGCTCTAAATGTGGGTTAGCATATTCTAGCAGCATCCACACAAACACAAGCCTCTTCCTCGTCCTCGTCCTCAAACTTTTTATTATTTCTACATTTTTAACAAATTCAATGTGTTACGGTTCAAACTGAAAAGGTTTAGCATCACTCATTGCTATTTTGGCTGGACAGAAATGGCACTACAGGACCTAGCATACTTTAGTTACCCAAAATGCATTGCAGTGTAAACAACATGGCCGTTTCTCAATATGTCTGCTTGTGCGTTCTCATGTACTCATCAAACATCACCAGCCTCAGCACTAGTACCGTTCCAATTCACAAGAACAAAAAGACAGAGAACGGACAAAGTCCCCGGATGTTGTTCTGGCCCCTCCCTCTTTACCAGAGATGGGAAGTAACGAAGTACAAATACTTCGTTACTGTACTCAAGTAGATTTTTCTGATATTTTTACTTTACTTTACTACTAATTTTTATGGCGACTTTTTACTTCTACTCCTTACATTTTTACACAAATATCTGTACTTTCTACTCCTTACAT